TTTTTTTGCTTTGCTTAGTAGATTCTAAACTATTATCTTGTTTTTATTCTTATCTAAAGACAGGCTCTTTTTTTTTTTCCTTTTTATAAGAACTTCTTTTAGTTTGACTTCTGCTTGTTCTTATGGAATTTGTGTTAATGCAGCCGCAGTTGAACGCCTTTGGAGCTGTATGGGCTTTTTACAAACAAAAAGAAGAAATAGATTAGCAGTAAATATTTTTTTAATTCGATTGGATTTGTATTATTAATATTTTTTTTTTTTGTTTTTTTTTTGTTTTTTTTTTTTTTTTTTAGTCATCAAAAGCTCTTAATATGAGCAAATTAAAGGCAATTATTTCGTAGGAACATTTGCAAAGATCAAACCCTGATGAATTGTTTTTACCTAATTTTTCAGAAGATATCAATAGTCAAGAAAATATAGACTATGAAAGGCATGAATCAAGTGATAAACCTGAAGAACCTTGTGAAATTAGACCAGATTCCGAAGAATTTGAGGATCTTATCATGAATGAAGACTCTGATGATGAGTCATTAGATTCTGAGTCCTTAAAAGAAGGTTTTGGTGAATTTTTGGATATGTGGGTAGAGATATCAGCAAGGGAGGTTGAGGAAGTTAGTGATACAGATGATACAGATGAAGACGATTACAGAATGCCTTCTAAAGTTAATGACATCATTCATCCAGCCGTAGATCCTGTTGCTAAATAGGATCTAGAATCACTTTTTAATAAGTTACAATTACCTTAATTGTATAGTTCTGACATCCCAGGTTGCTAGTGCATAGTATATTCTAGCTATGCAATGTGCAATAATATTATCTCTTCCTTTTTTTCTTATCCAAAAATTAAAGAACAATACTCTAACCTTCATAATGCTTCATGTTATTCTATACAAAATTCTGGTTATGTTATATACTTAAGTTGGTTAAAATCAATATCTAGAAAGATAGAAATATCTGTTCAGAATGAAAAATAGCTTACCGGAAACAAATTTACCATATGGAGTTAAATTATAGATTTAAATAAATTCATTTTTTATATAAAATTAAGTCGTAATAACGCACCTTGCTTTCTTTTAAAAGAAGTTCAAATTTTTTTGAATCACGTATAAAAAATTAACAAGTTAATTTTTAAGTCAAAGGTAAACTATGTTAAAGAAGCCTAATTAACATTTATTACCTAAATTATACGTGCTAAAATGCTTTCAGTAAATTTATTAAGTTGAAAGCGTATAAGTTGAGAAGTCTGAGTCATGATCAGGTTATATTGAATAATGGTTCTTTCGGTTCTTTAGAAGTAGATAGCACAAGATCAGCAAGTTAAGGATCTAAAACTGCACGAATAATACTAAACTAATATTTGCTACCCGTTACCAATATACGATGTCGTACAGTATGACATGCATATGAGTCTGATACCTATGTTCTTAGATGTGAGACACGAACAGTCTGGTCCGTGTTCACGTCCGGCCCATGTGCCAACATTACCCAAAAATGTCTACGTCTACAAGATCCTTAGATACAGACACGGACGTCCGGTCCAGTCCGTGACCGTGTCCATGTCTGGTCCGAGTGACAACACTGTCTAATACTATACCTGTTTTGAGCTTATTGAATATTGTATACTAGTTTTCTTCTATTATTCTATTGCTTAAACCTTAATAGAAGCTTTCTTTAATTCTTATTATTGGCTTATATATTTTATTCTACTTGTTCAAGATTTCTTCTTTTTAAAAGTTTCTCTTTTTGAACAACTTTTTGAAGTATTCAGCTATTTTTCTAGGTATTTATTTTGGTTTATTAAATAGTTCTTCATCTCCTTCTTTATTTATAAGTAGTCTATCAATTACTACTTTCTTAAAGAGTTTTTCTAACAAACTATTGATTACTCTTCTTTAATTATCCTTTATTATTTCATATCTGTAATCTATATATATTAGTAGATTTGTAGAATTGAAAAGATAATTTAAGGAGTAAATAGATATAATAACATATAGTATAAAATTTATACTATCTCTTAAACCGTTTTCTAGACAAATTTGCCTGGATTTTTAGAAAGTTTTTATAAATATTAATATAATTTAATAAAATATTAATAATATGAGGTCTATATTATATATAGAATATATTATTAAAAACATATTCTATA